CAAGTCTTAATAAATGAGAATGTTGTGAGATATGTACTTCTTGACATAGAAATGAAACGCAAAGAACACAAGCAAACACAGATCGTTTACGTGGTTCGATCTAATTGGGTCTACGTCCACGGAAGGGAATCAATCAAATAGTTCACTAAGACAAAAGAAATGGAGAATACATAGCTTATACATAGAGATGATCCCTCATCTTCCTTCTATGACCTCCCTCTCAAGCGACACCTTGATACAAGGCCTCAAGATGCTCTCCTCCTCTTTAGCTCTCTAGCTATTCTCTCCTCCTTCGTGGTAGCTTAAGGTCTCTTCCCTTTCTCTCCTAAGCCTCACACCCTTAAGATCTCTTCCCTTGCCCTTCTAAGCCTCACACCCTCTCTATTTATAGAAGCAAGAGAGTGGCAGGTGGGTGGTAGGGTGAACGATAGGTGATCGGTAGGTGAGATGTGGTAGGTGAGCGGTACCACATTACAAAAGTACCCTTTTACCTTGTTCATTAATTGAGGGTCAAAATAGCAATTCTCCATCTTGACCCTCAATCTTGACACTCAATTGAGAAGCTTCGAAATAAAGATTCCCTCCACCTGGCCCCTAAGGGGCCCTCAGCCCTTGCTTGAATCTGCTAAGTCCAAACTGTACATGGACTTAGCAATCACGGTTCTTCCGATAAGATAGTACAACCTCTTTTTTCCTGACTCCTTGTATGACAACACGAGGGTCTTTGGTTACTCTGATGCAGTCATTCTCTGCCTTGAACGAACATCCACTTGACTCCAACGTACCTAAAGAAATCAGATTTCTTTTGAGCTATGGTACGTACCTGACATTTTTCAGTACTCGTTCAACTTCATCAAACATCCTTATCTTGATTGATCCACTTCCAACAACCCTATGAACAATCCTATGAGCTTTATTGTCTCCCAGTAGAACAGACCCATCATTTTCTTTTTGCAGTGTTTCGAACCAGTCTTTGTAAAGACACATGTGGAAGGAGCACCCTGAGTCAAGGATCCACTCCCTGCTAGATTCAGATTCTGTGATCGCCAGAGCTTCAGCTGAATCATAGCCATCTGAGGCTACGCTTGCCTCTCCAGAATCTCTGGGCTTCTCCTGAAAACTTTTCTTTCTATCCGGACAGTTCCTTCTAAAGTGACCTTCCTTGTGGCAGTGGTAACACTTGTTAGATCTCTTAGAAGACTGACTTCTGCCCTTCCTTCTGGACTTTGATCTGCTCTGATCACTTTTGAAGTCTTTCTTGCTCAATCTTCCTCTAACTGTCAGACTATCTCCACTGGTTTCCTCTTTCATGTCGTGCTTCTTCTGGAGTTCTTTAGCTCTAATAAGAGATTGTACCTCCTCCAGAGTAATAGTCTGCGCCCTTCCATAGAGCATCGCATCCTTGAAATGCTCGTAGCTCTTGGGAATAGAGTTTAGCAACAGTAGTGCCTTGTCCTCATCGTCCATCTTGACGTCGATGTTTTCGAGGTCATCGATGATCTTGTTGAACTCGTCAATCTGCTCTGAGACGGATTTGTCTTCATGCATTTTGAAGGAGTATAGGCGCTGCTTCAGAAAGAGCCTATTAGCCAGAGACTTTGTCAGGTAGAGTACCTCGAGTTTGGCCCAAAGTGCTTGAGTCGTTGTCTCCCTTGACACCTCCCTCAGAATCAGGATTATCAAACTATGGGCCTTGTCCAGTATGCCGATCTTCTCCTTCTCGGTCATGTCGGCCAACAATGTCGTCGACCCTTGCAAGGCTTCTGCAACACCCTGTTGAACCAATAGAGCTCTCATCTTTACTCTCCATAGGCCGAAGTCATTCTTCCCATTGAATTTCTCAATGTCGAATTTGACGGAACTCATTGTCGTGGCTAGGATTTCTTCCAAATGAATTTTACCTGCT